TATATGGTGCTTTAAAAGTCTGTTTACCTTATGTAGTTTATTTACACGAGAAATCTAAGTGGGCTCAGTTATTGCCTGAAAATCTCGATTTCTATCAATAATTTGAAAGAAATGTGTAACATACATATAAAAATAGGCAGAACAAGTTATTTACACGGACGTTAATTAGAGGAAAGTTAATTGATCACGTGTCCTTTGTTCAGGAAAACGAGGAAAGCTGCTTCGAAGGCCTCACCCGATTGACTCCAAATCCCATGATCCTCTCTTTCAGTGCATCCTGAGGAGGAGGAGGAAGAAGAATCTCACCCCCCCAAAAAAACTTCGGTGAGTTTCCCTCCGCAGCAAAATAAAGGTGAGAAACAGGAAATCAACTTTGATCGACCACTTATCTTACACATTTAACGACACTTTGCGCTCGTTGCGTAACTTTGCGTTGCGATTCTAGAAGCGTTTGCGTTGCGCATCAGTGAGATACTGAATCCACGTGGTGTGTGTGTGGTGTGTGTGTTCGATGTGTGTGTTTCAGTCCTCAGGCTTCTAGCAGAGCTCACGCACTCCTGTCACCGTCGTCCTGAACCGGGCTCCGGCTATTCCCTGCTTCCACGTAGAGTTAACGCACAGGTGAGTGTTTCTTCCATCCCAGCTTCGTGCGCGAATGTATCTGCATGTTTCAGTCGTACACGTGTTTATTTCACTTGACTTTCTTGCAGTGACGAAACATTGACTTGATTGAGAAATGATCTGGGATAATGACAGAGGCCGCATCAGACATTAGCCACAGCCGATCATGTTAAATTGCAAGTATGTGTAAGCATGTGCAGCCATATTATCAAATATCAACCAAACTTTATTTATGTGGCACCTCAAACAAATTGACAAAACAAAAGTGCGTTGAATGCTTGTCTTGACATTTCTGCACAAGTCATTTTATCCATTCATTCATCCACATTTCAGTTTTATCCTCAGTGGAGGACATAGATTTACAGCATGGTGAGAAAATATGAGGTCATAAGCTTTATTAAGTCATTTAAAAGTCATTCATTATGATAAATGCTGCAAAACTTCATATAAACTTGCAGTTTTCTTTCAGGCATCATTCAGACTCATGTGCTCTCTGACACTTGAGTCACATGAGAGGAGTGATTTCAATCAAAAGCGGTGATTGGCCTAATTGTGGATCATGTGCGACCACTCTGCAACACTCAGCCTTTTGTGCTCTATCTTATCCCGGCTCGTCTTCCAGGGAGCTTTCAGAACGTGTGGCATTCAGAGCCTTTTAAAGTAAACGTCGCAATTGCACAACCGTCAGAGCTGAAGTCACTGGTTTCAGGTCAACGCGGATTGGGATGGTTTGAACTCTGACCCCGTTTGATTTACGGGGGTTTAAAACGTGCACAGGAGTCATTGCAGTTTCTTTATCACTGTCTGTATTTCAGAACAGCACACGAGCCTCAAATCCAGTGACGTTATTCAAGTTTTTCTCCAAGTGTACATCGATTCCAAAAGCGTGTCGTGAGCAAGACTGTGAATTCAAATTGTGCGACGGTGCATATCATGTCGAACCATTTAATTTGTTACGTGAAATCCTCTCAAATATAATCAATTATTACACGACAAATATTTTAGCTGGTTGCAGAGAAAAGGCGTCTGCAAGTAATGAGTGAAATATGGTCTGCACGGAAAATGGGTTTTGGACGCTCAGAGGAAGAGACAGCAGAAGCAGCAAACTGCCGAGGCTCTGGCGAATGGTTTACTGTATCTCCTGATAATGGTTTTGTTTTTCTATGCAAATGAGCCTCTGTGTTCAGCCTTCAGTGCTCGGGCCCTGTCTGGTGACCACGCCATTTAATTGTTGACTTGTGTTTTTGTTCTAGTTGATTGCATCCTTGTTAGTGTGGCCTTTACAAGATAACATAAGACCCAAGGCCTCGGTAAAGGTCAGCGCTTCCTCGCAGCTCAGCAAACACCTTTTGTTATATGTCAGGCCTTTCATGCAATTAATTGGTGGCTTTGCGAACGCTTGGAGGCGGATAAGAAGCGCTGGCCGTCCTGGAGAAAATAACCACGAAGGCGTGCGCGGTTCCGCCTTAATACATCACGCTGGGATCTCTTCATTTTTCACCCAGGTGCCATGGCAGAGCGGGTGCTGGTGGTTGGCAGCGGAGGGCGGGAGCACACACTGGCCTGGAAGTTGGCCCAGTCGCCACAGATCCAGCAGGTCCTGGTGGCTCCGGGTAACGCAGGCACCGCCAACTGTGGGAAGATCAGCAACTCTGGTAAATCCAACCACTAATTAAGGCCTTTCAGTTCATATTCTTCCTTTGTACCTCCACGAAGGAGGTTGTGTTTTGGCTTTGGTCTGTTGCGTGGTTGTTGTTGTTTTGTTTGTCAGCAGGATTCCGCAAAACTCAACAGATTTCCAGGAAACTTTGTGCACGAAGAAAGAGCCCTTCAAATGTTTTTCCCATGGACTCTGGGAAATGTCTTTATCATTGTGATTAGCCTCGTGTTTTCTGTGTTTCTGGCCTCCCAGAAATCCTCGGAATCCCTTCGAATCCAAATAATAATCCAGATTTAAATGCATATTCGTAAGGGAACTGTTGTTTTAATTTAAAATTGTAAATATTGCAACGAATTCTAAGGTAATGGTTCTATTACATGACTGACATAGTATTTGAAGGATATTCCCAGCCCTCTATGTGAGACTGGTAGTTTTTCTTTTATGTAAATTCCCCACAAACTGTTGCTCCCTGTGATTTTCCTCCATGCAGAGGTATCTGTGAGCAACCACACCATCTTGGCTCAGTTCTGCAAGGATCATCATGTGGGGCTGGTGGTGGTCGGGCCTGAGGTACCGCTGGCTGCAGGTAAGTGAAGTCATTGGATTGTATCGTGTCCGTCTTGACACCTCAAGGCCATTAAGGCGTAAGACGGCAAACGGAAACGCTATCTTAAAGCCAAGCACCGTTTGAAAACGACCACTTAAAACCTGAAGAGCGGAAAGAATCGCCTACATCAACACAAACTTACATTTCTCGGCCTCTGAAGCACATAGAGACATAAAGTTAAAACATTTGCTCGCATAAACATTTGGCTTTCACTGTTAAACTTTGATTTAAAATTCTCTCCCGCTTCCTCGTCTTCAAATACGTCGCTTTCCGACTGAGGCAGTGGTCAGAGGCAGTTCAGGAACATTGCCTGAGTCTTAATACATAGACGCGTCACATCGGCTTTTGATGGGTTAACGTCTCTTTCAGGTATCGTCGATGACCTGACGGCAGCAGGAGTGCCGTGTTTTGGCCCCTCTGGAAAAGCAGCCCAGCTAGAGGCCAGCAAGAGCTTTTCCAAGGCGTTCATGGAGCGGCACGGCATCCCCACGGCCCGTTACGGCTCCTTCACCGACCCCCAGGAGGCCTGCAACTACATCCGCACGTCAGTACAGTAGACAAGTGTACTCGTGGCCACAGGCAGCTTGTAGAGTTCTGGTTTTCGGAGCCATTAAACACAGAAAATTGTAGAATGAAGTATTTTTTTGTCTGGGTTAATGATCTCCGAAGCGATGGTGGTTTTTCCACACTGACCTTGAAGAAGCAACAGCAGAGACAGTCGTAACTCTTCATCTCTTTGGTCACATCAACGATCTTGGGCAGAACAACAGCTGCCATGTCCTGACAGCCTTCATCCACACACATCCACAATCGTGTGCTCTGCAGATGCTAAACGGCCCACAGAAGATATTTTGGGTTTTATATCGGCAATCCAGCATCTGCTCCAGAAGCGTCTCCTGCGAGAAAAAAGATTCTTTCTACGCGTTACTGAGCTGCTCTCATTGTTTGCCGTCTCCAGTGCCGACTTTCCTGCTCTGGTGGTGAAGGCCAGCGGCCTGGCAGCCGGGAAGGGGGTCATCGTGGCCGGAGACCAGGAGGAGGCGTGTCGGGCTGTGATGGACATCATGAAGGTACCAGACTATCGGACGATATGTATTTACGATACAGTGTTTATGATTGGGTCAGTTGCATGTGGACCCAAACATTCATAGACAACTACAAAATAAAAGCACAACTTTAGATTTGTTGCTGCAGTGTCTGATTGTGAGTGGGATTACAGAGCTTTTAGTTTGAAAGGTCGTGAATTTGGGTCTGAAGATTGTGTCGATAGCTCAACAGACTTCAGAAATAGCCGACGTGTAATGTATGAAAAAAAATAACAGCAGTTAAATAACTGATTTAAACATATAAACAAGCCACACACATAAAAAGTAAGCACTTATTTCAATTTCTGATCAAATGTGACTATTACATCTCGATTACAGTTTTCTAACTTTACTCTCTGCACACAAACGATAAAGTGTAGAAGTGTTTGAGGAGGATTCAGTAACGACGAGGGATATTTCCAAAACGGCTCCGGAGCGTTACCACAGGCCGACAGAACAACCCATTCCAAACAGACACTGCACTGGTTTTATTTAAACAATGGATCAAATCAGCATGTGAAAGTTGTCCCTCTGACAGGACAAAGCCTTTGGAGCTGCAGGGGACACGGTGGTGGTTGAGGAGCTTCTGGAAGGAGAGGAAGTGTCTGTGAGTCAAATGGTTTAAAGTGAAATTCTTATTCTTATTTTGATCTTAAGGGGAAATTGACGGGATGTGTCCCTCCTTTAGTGTCTCTGTTTCAGCGACGGCACCTCTGTGTCGCCGATGCCTCCAGCGCAGGATCACAAGCGGCTGCAGGACGGTGACCTGGGGCCAAACACTGGCGGCATGGGGGCTTACTGCCCCACCCCTCAGGTACCGTGCTGACATTTAACAGTGAGCGAGGTCGTACTCTGCCGCCAGATCTCTGTCCAACACTTAACCGGGCTCTGCGATGTTGATTAAATTACATTTCTCTGGCTCCTGTGCAGGTGAGTCCGGAGCTGCTGCAGCAGATCAGAGAGACGGTCCTTCAGAAGACGGTGGACAAGATGAAGGAGGAGGGATCTCCTTACGTAGGCGAGTGCTCTGTCCCCTCACGCGTGTTGTTGTCTTTGCAGCGGTGACTTTATAGTTTCGGATGAATGACACACAGTCTCCGTCTTGGATTTTCTCTCCAGGTGTGCTGTACGCGGGGCTGATGTTGACCAAGCAGGGCTTGAAGGTGCTCGAGTACAACTGTCGCTTTGGAGATCCTGAGTGTCAGGTACAATTCTTCAGTAAAACCACGTAGATGCACAAGAAACATAATATTTTACTCTTAACCCTATTTTTTTTTTGTGTAGGTGCTGATGCCCCTGCTGAAGAGCGACCTGTATGAAGTGATAATGAACACCATGAAAGGCACACTGGCTTCCAACACCCCCGTGTGGCACCACGACAGCTCGGCTGTCACGGTTGTCATGGCAAGCCCTGGTTACCCTGGCTCCTACAAGAAAGGAGTAGAGATCACAGGTTTGCATGACACTGCAGCGGCACCACACGAATGTGCCTGTGCGAGCTAAATGTCAGAGTGTAGTAAGATGGCATATATATATACCGCACCTCATCAGAAGGTCACAGTGTATTCTGGCGCCTCAAAAACTGATAAACCTATTATCTTTTTTTGTCCGTTTTTTCCATTCCATACATTAGAAAACTGATAATGTCATAGAATCATCAAAAATAAATAAAACACAACACTTGTTCAACGCACATCTTTAATTGCTCTCGTCCTTTAGGCCTCTCCCAGGTCGAGGACACGGGGCTGCAGGTTTTCCACGCCGGTACTTCCCTAAAGGATGGGTGTGTGGTGTCCAGCGGTGGGCGGGTCCTGACTGTGACGGCGGTCAGTTCCTCCTTGGAAGCAGCCTTGCGTTCCGCCAATCAGGGGGTGGCTGCCATTGGCTTCCCGGGTGCAGTTTACCGCCGCGACATCGGCCACCGTGCCATCGCTCACCTGAACCAATCCCGGTGTGTGTGAGTGTGGTGCACGCCAAAAATACACACTTCCAACTGAAACATTCTATTTTTTGTGTGTACTTATTTTTTTCTTCCCATCATCTCCACACTGTAAATCCCATAGAACTGCCTGAATAATAAACATCAGTGTACATGCACTCGTGTCCTAGTTTTCTTTTTTTAATCACCACACAAATGTGCTCCTCTCCACAATCCCAAATTCCCCTCTGATTTTTTTTTTTTAATCCTCTTCCCCGAGACCTAGTTGAGATTTAGAATTGAAGCCAGTGGGAATAAAAACTGTGTCTCTGACAGAGGTCTGACCTACAAGGAGAGCGGAGTGGACATCGCTGCCGGCAATAAGCTGGTGGAGCTGATCAAACCTCTGGCTAAAGCTACATCTCGCTCTGGTAACTTCAGTGTCATGTCAAAAAGAACCTTAACACAAACAGTAGATGTTCATGACACGTGTTGACATCAGATTGAATGGATGAGGGAGTAACTGTAACTTTGATTTTTCCATCAGGGTGCAACGCAGAACTGGGAGGCTTCGCTGGCGTCTTTGACCTGAAGGCTGCGGGATTTGTCGACCCGATCCTGGTGTCTGGGACGGACGGCGTGGGGACCAAGCTCAAGGTGGGATGGGAGTTTGTTGTTTCATTTCTCAATATGTGGCCCCCAGCTGTCGCCGCTAAGACCTGGAACAAATGAGAATCTAATGAAAGTGCAGAAAAGCTCCACTCGGTCCAAATTGGCATTGGTAATTTCCACATGGGTTATAATGAGTAAGCATTGAAAACAGGATCCAGATTTGGCTGCGTAGTAATGGAGCAGCGGGGGAGACGAGCTTATCTGCAGACAGGCTTAGACTCTGGCTTCTTAAAAAGAAAATACAGATTCATTTAAAGTGTGAAACATCCAGGATTATTTCATGGATGTTTGAAGCAGATTGAGCTCGTTGTTGGCGAGTCTGGAGATAAAAAGATTTTCCTTAATGGATTTGAATAGTCAAGGTGCCAAA